CCGCCTCCCGCCGAGCCTTCTTGCTGGGGGTCCTCGCTGTCGGGCTGGGTGTGTGCACATACGCAGCCGCCCTGGTGACCCTGGCCGCCTACCTTGCCTCACGAGACCCACCCTAGTTGCGCCTGCAGCCCTTACTGTGAACCCAGGGGCCGGCAACCCAGCACGTCTGTAGGAAGAGAGTGGAGAATCCTGGTGGAGAGACAGCAGCGGCGGTAGCACCCAGAAACAGGAGTGAGGTGGACAGCCCTCTCCCCTCTGTGGTCACCGCTCACTGTGTGGCGGCGACACGAGATTAAATAAGTCGGCCTTGCAGCCACACCTGAGTCTGTCCGTGTGTGTGGGAAAGTGGAAGGGGCTGTTGGTGTGTATGTGGGGGGCATCCCGAGTGTCCCTGAGTCCTCAGAGCTGGAGAAGGGGCCGTTGGTGTGTGCGTGGGGGGTTCTAAATTGCAGAATGTTCCCTCCACAAAACTGGTGGTTACTGGAGAACTAGAGCGAGCTGAGTGCAAGTCCGTCTGCACCTGTGGGCTGTGTACTCAACCCAAGTGACGTCTCTTTGAGCCTCACTTTCGCTTGTCTACAAAATGTTTTTTTTTCCCCCACAACGTGGGCTGTGATGATTAAATGTGCCCTACAAGGAGTTTTCAGAAAGCTCAGTGAAAATAATTATGGGGGCCAGCAGATGGCATAGCAGTTACATCGCTGGACTCTCACAGAGCTATGATTGGAGTCCCAGACCTGGTGGCCTGAAACTCAACCTGGGCACGTGTGTGTGTGCGCGTGCCCAAAATCCCATGAGGAGAATAGAGAAGGCATTGCAGCATGGCCGTCCCCTCAAGGAGTGATTTCTCACTTTCCCTCTTGTCTCTCTCTCTCCAGCGAGCACGCATGCCTTAAGTAAAAAACCTGTAAAACTAGAAATAATTATGGAAAAACTACACTTAAATTCAAAAAGTTTGGGAAGCCAGCCCTGTAGTCTAGTGGTTAAGGAGCTAGATCCCCACGTGGCCAACCATGATTTGGGTCCCAGCCCCTGTGGCTTGAAAAACATTCTGGGTTCATGTGTATGTATGTGCTCAAAATCCTGATGGGATGGAGAAATTCTGAGTGGACTGTGCTGCGACCATACCCAGTAGGGGGTGCTTTGTCCCTCGCCCTCCCTCTCCGTCTCTGGCCAGCATGTGGGATTCTCTTGCAATCAAAAAAAAAAAAAAAAAAAAAAAAAAAAAAAAAAAAAAAAAAAAAATTTTTTTTTTTTGAATAAACTTGTATTTTTTTTTCGGAGCGGTTTTTGCTATAGGGCGCGTGCACTCACCAGAAAGACAGAGAGAGACAGAGAGACAGAAAGCGGGAAATCATTCCCCGGGGGGGTGGCCACACCGCAATCCCTTCTCCTCCATTCTCCTCTCAGGATCTTGGGCACGCACGCACATGTGCCCGGTGTGAGTAAACTCACCGGGTCTGGGACTCGAACTGTGGTCGGCTACACGGGAGTCCAGCGACGTAGTCATTACGTTAACTGCTGGTCCCAATAAACTCGTATTGAATTCCCTTTTCCAAAAACATTCTGAAGTCCCATCATACACTTAAAAAGGGCTGTCTGCTTGGTCTCTCAGCTTTTTTTTTTTTTTTTTTAAATTAGATTTTTGCTTTAGGGTGTGTGCTTGCTGGAGAGACAGACAGAAAGCAAGAAATCAGCCCCCATGGGGGATGACCACGCTGTAATCCCTTGTCTTCCATTTTCCTCTTGGTATCTTGGGTACGCATGCACACACACCCGGCATGAGTTTAAACCACCAGATCCGGGACTCGAACCCTTTTTTTTGGAGAGGTTTTTGTTATAGGGCACATATGCTTGCCAGAGAGAGACAGAGAGACAGAAAGCGAGAAATCACCCCCCAGGGGGGATGGCCACACTGCAATCCCTTCTCCTTCATTCTCCTCTTGGGATCTTGGGCATGCATGCACATGTGCCTGGTGTGAGTTTAAGCCACCCGGTCTGGGACTCGAACTGCGGTCAGCTACTTGGGAGCCTAGTGACATAGCCATTAAACCAACTGTTGGTCCCTTCTGAGCTCTTTTAACAAGTGGTAGAAATAACTGAGTTAGACAGCCATAGGGAAGATGGGCCAGGAGATGGTGTGGACGTTCAGGTTGCTGGATCCCACTATGCAATTCAAGTCCCAGACCTGGGGCTCGAGAAACATGCTGGGCCTTTTGTGTGCAAGTGCCCAAAATTCTGAGGGGAGAAGGGATAGTGGTGTGGCCTACCTCCCTGGGGGGGGTGATTCCTCACTCCCCATCCTCTCTGGTGAGAACACAGGTCTTATAGTGAAATTAAAAAAAAAGATAAAATTGAGATGTAACTGTGCTCAGGGGCTCACTCCCTTCTTGGAGAGAAAAACAGCCCCAGCAGTATAGGCAGCTAAGTACCCCAAAAAGCTTAAATCCTCCTTCCCAGGACTCTCATCAGCCCTGCCTGGAGTGGAGGCAGCCTCTTCCAAATGCAATGTCCTGGGATCCGGAGTGGGACAGAGCCTTAGGAAGCCTTCGTGCTGGCACCTGCGCAGGCCGAGTGGGGCACACGGAGAGCCTGCTGTTTCCATGTCAGAGATTACGCAGTTGTTTCCTCTAACGCCACCCCAATGGGCCTTGCTAGATGAAAATCCTATTCCTCATTTAGTGTTCCTCTGAGTATCTGACGGAGCATCATTTCAAGCTAAAGATATTTACACGTTTCTTCCTTAGTTACTGGGGATAAAGACTGGGCTCTCCCAGTGGGGCAGCTGGGAATTCTATGAGCGGGTTCGAGCATGTGAAGTGTGCAGTAGAGGGCTTGGTAGACATGAAAAACCCCCAGATGTCAGCGGCCCCCAGGGTTCGCTGTGTGACCCAGCTGTGGGCCGGTTACTCCTCATTGCTGTTTAATTGGTGGAAGGGCACGCACTCACCAGAGATGGAGAAGGCACCTCCCAATGAGGTGTGGTCACTGCACAGTCCCTTCTGCATTTCTCCATCCTGTCAGGATTTGGGACATGCATGCACACGTGCCCAGGGTGTTTCAAGCTACTGCAGCTGGGATTTGAAACATCAAATAGCCAGTAGGCCATGGTGTTGGCCCCAGGACAGAAATCCTTTGTGTAGCTCACCTAGCAGTGGCTCTCAACTACGAAATACTCTGGCAGGTATAGGTGGTGCAGGGGCAGCCAAGTGGGAACCTAAACGTACCCTGTATTTCCAAATGCCCTGTAGGGGGTGCCACCACCCCATGCCTGGGCACAGCGAGCCTTGATTCATTTACAGATGGGGGACATGGTCCAGAGCATGCTGGCATCCCTGGGCTTTGTCTTAAGAGGGAGGGTGTGGGACTGTACTGCCGTCCCACTGCTGGCTAGGCAGTGGAGAGCCCAAGCAGCTCACCGGTTGGCTTCTGCTCTTCTTTTTCCACTTCTGAACAGGAACTGTAATAATGGCCCCACATCCTGGGGTGGTTGGGCGGGGTAAAGCCACACAGGAAGCCAGATCCCTCCCCGGCCATGGGGCCGCGTGCACCCTGCACCCTTTCCCTCTCTGACCCCATGCTCTGGTTTGAACACGCCAACATTTGTGTGCCGAGGTCTGATTGTGACGGGATTAAGGACATGGAGAGAGACTCCAACTATGGCGCTGAGAGGTGGGGCCTTTGGGAGGAGAATGGGATCAGGGTGGGGCCCCACGACGAGACACTCGTGAGTTTGTTAGGAGACAGAGACATGGACACTCACACGCCATGTGACATGTTATGCCACCCTGGGGCCCCACCAACGAGAAGACTCCCACCAAGTGTGACCCTTGACCCCCAAAACTGTGAGCTGAATTAACCTCTATTCTGATGAATCGCGCAGTTTCAGGTTTTTCCGTTCTAAAGCAGCCCACAGCCTACTCCTCTCTGTCCTTGGTTCCAGCCTCACTGGCCTTGCCGGCCCTTGATGCTGGGGCAGTGTGGGGGAATCTACCCTGTTACCCCAGAACTCACTCCTTTTCCCCCTTCCCACAACAGTGTCCTTACTGAGGTAGTGACTTCGCTGTCCTCAATGGAGTCCCAGACTCCTCTTCCCTGCGATTCACCTTTGCAGAGTGCGTACCACCACCTGACAAACACATTTTATTTGTCATCACCCCACTGCTCCCCAAACAGGGCATGGGGGGCTCTGACTCACGCCAGTGTCTCGGCATCTGGCAGAACCTGCGGGAAGGGGCTCCACAGACTTCTGTTAGAGTGATCGAACAGGGACTCACTCACTCTATAAACGCGAGTGCCTTTTGATGTTATCCTCATGGGGAGAGGGTCTATGCCTTGGGCCCAGGGGCTGCAGCTCTGTCCTCTGCAGAGGTTCCTATAGCTCCCGAGCCCAGGCTCACGCAGGCACACAGGGGCAGCAGCAAGGCTGGTTTGCGGTTTGCTTTAGGTGGTGGCGGTGGGAGGGCCACCCTGCCCCAGCCGGCCTCAGCTCTTGGAGTAACGCCTCTGCAGTGATTCCCGGTAGAAGCGGAAGACGTGCTGTGAAGCAGCCTGGGCCGCAGCCAGGCACTGATGGAACTGGGAGGGGAGAGCATGCTCAGTGCTGGGGGCCAGCCCGGCACCCACGCCCCAACCAGGTGACCCCACCTGCCTCCCAGAGCCCCCAGACTGACCACTTCCCCCCTCATCTCATCACCCCCAGCCCTAGGCAGCGCAAGTGAGGAGATGATTTCAAGTGCACTTCCTCCTTTCCCACTTTCATGAGCTCTGCGAGAAAACGAGAAGGCAAGGGTCTCTGGGATCGATTCTGGCAGTGGACCCTCCAGTGGGATCAGGCATCTCGACACCCTGGAACGGAACCTAACTTCACAGAGCCAAGGAACCTTATAGTTCATGGAACTGGAGGTCTTTGGATTTTAGAGCCATGAGCTTTTTGACGCCGATCTCAACAGCCGTGGAATCAGAGGGCCCACTTCTGTGCTGCCCGTATTCTAGATTCATCAGATCTTCTCGTTGGAAATGCACTTGAGGACTGTCTGGCCCAACAGTTTCCTTAAAGACCTAGAATTCCTGTTGGCTTATCACTCTGGGCTGGGAGCAGGGGGTCCTGATGCCCCTACTTCCTGATGTCAAACTGGCTCCTCCTCTTTTTTCCTATCTCATAAACTCCTTTCACATTTTCACCAAGTTCCTAGTGGTTACAAAGGAAACTCCCCCCCCCTTTTTTCATTTTGGAGAGATTTTTGCTATAGGGCGCGTGCGCTTGCCAGACAGAGACAGACAGAGAGACGGAAAGCGAGAAATCACCCCCCAGGGGGGATGGCCACGCCACAATCCCTTCTCCTCCATTCTCCTCTCGGGATCTTGGGCACGCACGCACATGCGCCTGGCGTGGATTTAAACCACCGGGTCCGGGACGCGAACCATGGTCGACTATATGGGAGTCCAGTGACATAGCCATTATGCTAACTGCTGGTTCCTCAAAGGAAACTCCCTCTTTAGAGCACAGACGAGACCTCACGTCGAGGTGGGAAGGAAGGTCCTGGCTGCTACCCTCAGCCCCACCCTGGTACCTCAGCGTTGGAGTAGAGTCCCTTGGTGGTTGACATCAGCAGCTTCCGCTCCACGCTGTCCAGTGCAAAGGTCAGGACTGCTCGGGCCTCCTAGGGACAGTGTGGAAGGTAGTGGGGGGCCTGAGACCCTCCCCACTGATAAAATCTCAGTCAGGCTCATAAAGCGGACTCCAGGCCCTCAGCCTCAAGGCCTCACCTTTCCCATGGCCAGGCACTCACACATCATGTGTAATTCCTACCTCCACACCGCTTGTCCCCGCTTCCCAGGGTAACAGCTCTCTACCTCTCCTCTGTAGAACTGCTCCCCTTAATCCAAGCACAATAGTCCTGCCCCATGGGGTGGGGGGAGAAGCCACAGTGCTGGTCCCCCCCCTTTTTTTTTAAGTTTATTTTTGGCATAGGGCACTTGGGCTCACTGGAGAGACAGAGACTAAGTGAGAAATGACACACCCCCCTCCCCTGGGAGGGGGATGGCCACACCACAATCCCTTCTCCATTCTCTTCAGCATTTTGGGCATGCACACAACACATGCCTGGTGTGATTTTCAAGCCTCCAGATTTGGGATTCAAACTGTAGTCGGTCATGTGGGAGTCCAGTGCCTTTAACCATCATGCCTCCTGCTGGCCCTGCTTGGTGTGATTTTCAAGCCTTCGGGTCCAGGACTTTGACGATGGTTGGCCGTGTAGGAACCGTGTGGCACCTCAACCACTGCACTACCTGCTGACCCCACAGTGCTGGCCTTTAACCTGCTGCCTCTCAGCTTCCCACCCACCCTCTGTGCTCTCCCAGGGGCTGGAAGGCACCAAACTATCTCCTGGACTCCTTTGCTCATTAGATTCCACCAGCAGTCTAGGGGAGATTGGAAGGAAGAGGAGCACCTAGTCCTTGACAGCAGCAGTTGCCATAACCCTGGCTGGACTTTGACCAGAACAGAGGCAGGGCATCCTTCGTGTATCCAGGATCAATGGTGATGATGTCTCCAACAGCACAGAACGGGCTGGCTCATGGGCTTGCCTGGAGCCCGTAGGCTGCTACTCTCTGGGCATTACCTTCCTCTGCTCCTCTAGCTTTTCCTATACTGTCATCAACTCCCTCTGAAATGTCTCAGCTCTTTTCTCATTTCCTGATTGGACATACCGGACAGTTAACTCAGAACCACCAAGGCCCCAGAACACACTGAACTTGAGCCGATGAAGACAGCTCTTTTCTTCCCCTTTGTTTTGAGTCTCTTAAGATGGAAGCATGTTGAGTCTAGCAGGTGGCATAGTAGTTAAGGTGCTGGACTCCCACGTGGCCGACTATGTTCAAATCCAGGACCTGGTGGCTTGAAAATCATACTGGGCATATGTGCTTGCATGCCCCAAATCCCAAGTGGAAAATGGGAGAGAAAGGACTATGGTATAGCCATCCCCTTGGGGGGTGATCTGTCTTTCCCTCTCTCTGGTAAACACATGAGCCCTATGGCAAAAATATCAGAAAAAAAAAAGATGGTGGCAGCATGGCACTCAGGAGACCAACTCCAGCCTCGGGAAAGATGTTGGCCAGAGGGAATGAAGCCAATGTGCAGAAACAAGCAGATGAGACATGAAGCAGGAAACCGATGGTATTTGAAGTCTTGGTTCTGTAATAGCTAGGCCTCCGTCCTCAGGTAGGTAACTTGAGCCAATCCATCCTTTTTGAGTACTCAAGTTTGCACTGGGTTTCCAGTATCTGCGGGTGAATGGCCCGGGCAACAGGGCAGAGTTTACCCATGGCATGGAGGTGGCTTGAGCCAGCAGTTTTGCAGAAAAGTGCCTAGAGGCAGAGAGGGACACCTTTCTGACCACCACCCTCCAGCCACCCTGGTCTTCACACCTACCTTTTCTTGCTTGGCTGTGGGGTCCAGCACAAGGGCCCCATCAGAGTCCAGGGTGCAGGTGACCCCACAGAAGAGCGCTTGCATGGGCACACCTGCATCCACCAGGGCCATGCAGGTGGCATTCAGGCAACAGGCCAAGAGCTGTGCACAACGGGAGCAGTTAAGGAAAGTCCCTACTGTAGGACTGACCAGCAAAACACACTGACACACACCCCCCTTTGTCCTGCCAATGGCCATGGCTGATGTCACTAATGGGTCACAGGCAACATGGCAGAGTGGCATCAAGGAACACTGGGTTTTGGAGCTGGCTTTGCTCTCTCACCTGTGTGACCTCTAGCAAGTGATTTACTCTGTCTCAATCCCATCTGCTACACGGGGATCACACCATATTGAAGTTATGTTCTGAAGTACGTACCAAGCACATCACATGCACCAGGCAACATGTACAGACATACATACTGCACACCTTCAGGGAAACAGCTGGAGAAGGGGAAGAACGCTCCCAAGGTTACACAGGGAGGTACCAGTAAAGCAGGCCCTCGAACCTGGGAGGCTTGCAGGCAGCCGCCAACTGTGATGAAAAAGCTGGCAGGATGATAGGAAGGAGTCACATCACTGCTGCCCTTAGGGAGCTCAGTCAGGGGTGGCGTGGAAGGAGAGCACAGACCAGCAGTCAGACAGCTGCCTCTGCCTCAGTTTCCCCACATCTTTCTTCCCCGTGCTTAGCACAGAGGACAAGCTGGGGGCCCTAGCTTTAGAAACCATCGGTTTCACCCTGCTATAGACCCTGCCCCTTCCTGTGAGCTTCAGCTTCCACCTCTGTAAAAGGGGCCATGACAGCCCCTCTCTCCTCCCACCCAACTCAGAGCCACCCCACCAGTGTCGCCCTCTGGAAGTGCCTGTGACTGGTCCTCACCCTCAGCCTTGCTCTTCTAAACTCCAGGGACCTTTTAAAGCCAAGCCCCTGACCAACCACTCTGAGTGCTCAGGGCTCCCTCAGCACTGAGGACCTCAAATTCACATTAGGGTGCCAGGAGACAGACGTGGTGTTGAGTCGTGCTGCAGCAGCCTTGGAGCTGTGTGACTTTGGGCAAGCTGCTTCCCCTCTCTGGACCTTAATTTCCTAACCAGAAACACGGGAACACAAGAACACTCCTCTGCCAGGGTCTGGGTCCTCTAGAACCATGTGGCTTGGGCCAAAGTCCTAGTTCTGTATGGGGATTACTTATTTATTATTTTAATTTTCTAAAGTTTTGGTGCTTCCTGGAGAGAAACCCAGAAAGAGGGAAAGTGAGAAATCACTCCCTAGGGGGAATGGCCATGCTGCAATCCCTTCTCCTCCATTCTCCTCTTGGGATTTTGGGCATGCACGCACATGTGCCCAGCATACTCTTCAAGCCACTGGATCTGGGACTCAAATTGCACAGTCGGGGCTGGCAGGCGGCGTAGTGGTGAAGGCACTGGACTCCCCACATGGCTGAATGTGATTCGAGTCCCAGACCTGGCAGTTTGTTTTCTCACTTTCCATCTCTCTCTCTCTGGTCAAATTTATAATAATAATAGTAATAATAAATAAAGTTAAATGAATAATTCTTAAAAGAAAAACCCAAAAATCAAAAAACAAAAAACAAAAACCTTGCATAGCTGGCCACATGGGATCCAGTGCCTTCACCACCTCGTCACCTTCTGGCACTTACATGGGGATTATGATGACTCACATGCTGTGAGGGCTAAGATACTGGGTGTGAGGCATGCAGGCTACACTTGCTGTTCTTCTACAGGCTGGTGCCTATCAGGTGTTGGAGGTTTCCTGGCTAGCATAGGGTATGTAGGTGGTCATCAGGAGGGAGGCAATCAGGAGGTTTGGGAGGACTTCCTGGAGGAGGCAGCCTGGAAGGAAGGATACAGAACCAGCATCGCTGACAACCTGCAGTACCACGGTGATGGAGGTGCGGGGGTGCAATGCCCCCAGCACCACGGCCTCACATGTGTTCCTGATAAGTCGCTCCCGGGTCTTCTCTGCCACACCTGGGGAAATTGGGGGGAGGGGAGGGCACACACGACTGTCAGGCTCCTCCTTTCCACATGGCTCCCATTCTTCATGGGCCCCTGACCAGCCCTCTGGAAAGGACCTGAAGTCTCAGCCCTGGACAGCCTTGGACAGCGGGGAGAAACCTGAGTGCTGCCAGACTTGCAGAGGGCAGGAGGCTGGCCCTAACTGCAATTTACTCCCCTGCTCCCTCCGGCACCCACCAGGGAAAGCTGGGCAAAGCTAGGCTGGGTGAGGCCAAGCTGGGAGTTCTCATGTCTTGGTGGCTGCCCGCTCATGCCCCAGTGGCCTGGCCCATAGAGAGTGATAAGCAGGCTAATAGAAAGAAGGAGAGTTGAAGGCAGAGAAGAGAAAATTGGGGAAGGGAGAAATCAGAGGCAGATAGAAACTGAAACACAGAGCCTGACAGTTGGAAAAAGATATGTGAACAGCTAAGGGGAACTGACGGGGGAGTGGAGAGTGGGGCTGGCAGGTGGGCAGGAGCCAGGCAGGAGTCCCCACAGCTGGGCCTAGTTACCAGGTAGCCCGATCTTCGGCCTCAGGATCACTTCAAGTGTCGCCTTGTTGAAGATCTCCTTGCTGACCTTCACTTCGGCTGGCCCGTAAACACCCGCCAGAACGGAGGTGTCACCTGGGGAGACAGCAGGGAGGCCTCACCCACACCCTCCCTGCTTCAGGGGGGTCGGCCACAGTGCTGAACACTCACTTCCCTTCTCTACCTGTTTCCTGTCTGTGAAAGGAGATAACGACACAGCTCTCACAGCCTTCTCGTGAGGATAAACTGACAATTCAAGTGACACTCAGACCACTGCCTGCTACGTGCTAGGTGCTAGGTGCACACCAGGCTTTAGCTGACACTAGTGACTGTTTTTTTTTTTGGGAGAGGTTTTTGCTATAGGGTGTGTGCACTCGCCAGAAAGACAGAGAAAGACAGAGAGCAAGAAATCACTCCCCGGGGGGATGGCCACGCCGCAATCCCTTCTCCATTCTTCTCTCAGGATCTTGGGCACGCATGCACACACACCAGGCATGAGTTTAAGCCATTGGGTCCGGGACTTGAACCACAGTCAACTACATGGGAGTCCAGTGACATAGCCATCATGCCAACTGCTGGTCCCTCTTTTTTTTGGAGAGGTTTTCACTATAGGGCACGTGCGCTCGCCAGACAGACAGAGACAGACAGAGAGACAGAAAGCAAGAAATCACCCCCCAGGGGGGATGGTCACACTGCAATCCCTTCTCCTCCATTCTCCTCTAGGGATCTTGGGCAGACACACACGCACGCACACGCGCCCGGCGTGAGTTTTAAGCCACCGGGTCCGGGACACGAACCGCGGTCGACTATGTGGAAGTCCAGCAACATAGCCATTACACTAACTGCTGGTTCCCCCTCTTTTTTTTTGAGAGAGAGATTTTTGCTATAAGGTGCGTGCGCTCACCAGAGAGACACAGAAAGTGAGAAATCACCACCCCAGGGAGGATGGTCATGCTGCAATCCCTTGTCCATTCTCCTCTTGCGATTTTAGGCACACACACACACACATGCCTGGCATGAATTTTAAGCTGCTGGATCCAGGACTCGAACCATGGTTGACCTCATGGGAGTCTAGCAATGTAGCCATTATGCCATCTTTTTTAATTGTCAGAGGGTGCGTGCACTTGTCAGAGCGCGAAAGAGACAGGGAGAGTGAGTGAGAAAGCACTACGCAATGAGGAATGGCCATGCCGCAGTCCCTTCTCCTCCACTTGTCCAACCTATAGGACTTCGGGCATACATGTGCCCTGTTTCTGGAGCTGTCAGGGCTGGGACTTAAACCATGCAGTTGGCCCTTTGGGATCTGGTTTCCTCAACCACTAGGCCACAGGGCCAGTTTTCTTTTAATTATTTATTTTAATTGTTAGAGAGCTTGTGCATTTTCCGAAGAGACAAAGGGAGACAGAGAAAGCAGCTCAACAGGGTGATTACAACACAATCTCTTCTTTTCTCCTTCCTGCTGGGATTCGGGGGCACAGCACATATGTTTCTGGCATGTTTTTCAAGCTACTGGAGCCAGGACTCTAACTGCAGTCAGCAATGTGGGATCCTGCTCCTTTAACCACTAGGCGACAGGGCTGGCCCTCTGTACTGACATTTCTGATGTCTGCTTGGCACTGTGAACCTAACGTTCCCAATGAACTTTCTTCGTTTTTCTCTCCCACTGCTGATCTGGGCAGAAACCTTAGTTATCCCTAACATGTTTTCCTCACACCCAAAACCAAACGCTAGGTGAATTTTGTCAGGTCTGCCTACAACACGACACCCAGAATCTCACGTCTTCCACTGCTTTTGCTCTCATGTGAGCCACCATTATCTACCTGTTTCTCATATACATCTTGCAGCCAGAATCTGTTAAAAGTTATTCGGATGTGTTACTCCTCTAGGCGAACGTTTCAATGGTTCCTACCTCACTCACAAGGCCTCACCCCATCTGTAATCCCTCTTACTTCTCAGGCCTTCTCTCCTACTAACTCCTACCCACTCAACTGCTCCAGTCACCCCGGCCTCCTTCCTGTTTGTCAAACATGCAAGCAAGTGCTGGCCTCAGGGCCTTTGCACCCACTGTTCCCCATGTTCGGTATGATAAAATGTGACATTCTACGACGCTGACCCACACAGGAAGGTTCCCGGCTTGCACCCAGAGACCTCCCCGAGTATGCTAGGCTACACCTGCCCATGATTTGGAGTTGGCTGAAAGCTGAGGACATTCTGCAGCATCATGACCTACCGAAGTGCTATCTCTCTGACTCATGGGAAAAATAAATAAAAGAAAAAGTAAGGGGGCTGGATTTGTGATGCAGTGATAAGGTGCTGCTCAAGAGAAGGCAGGTCTCACGTGGCAAGCATAGTTCAAATCCCTGGCCCAGTCATTCTGAAATATGCCAGGCACATACAAGTGTACAAGGTTCGACGGGGTAGGTAACTGGAGAAAGGGGGATGTGGCATGACCAGGCCCAAAGAGGGCTCACATGCATGCACACAGACTCTAATCATAACAAAGAAATAAGGAAAAAGAGTAAGGGCCAGGAGATGGCATGGTGGTTAAGGTGCTGGACTCCCACATGGCTGACTGAAGTTTGAGTCCTGGATCTAGTGACTTGCTTCCTCATTTTGTCTCTCTCTGATGAGTGCATGAGCCCTTAGCAAATTAAATAATAATAATAATAAAGTAATTCTGTTTTTTGGGAGAGGTTTTTGCTACAGGGTGTGTGCACTCACCAGAAAGACAGAGAGAGACAGAGACATAGAAAGCGAGAAATCACCCCCGGGGTGATGGCCATGCTGCAATTCCTTCTCCATTCTCCTCTTGGGATTTTGGCCACGCACGCACATGCACTTGGCTTGAGTTTAAGCCACCGGGTCTGGAACTCAAACCGCAGTTGACTACATGGAAGTACATGAGAGTCCAGCGACATAGCCATTATGCCAACTGCTCGTCCCTCTTACTGGACCTTACTGACCACACATTAGTTAAAATACCTTGTAAGCTGTGCAGTTCCTGTTAACTCTGAGTATCTAAAGGATAAAGCAGTATTTAAATGTTAGGTATATTTGTGCCACTGTAAGCTATACTGTAGCTATTTATCATGTGAAATCCAAATGACGTCTTTGGAATAGTTGACATACATGCTACGTGTGTTCTGAAGTTTTTAGACAATAGTAGTCTGAGAGGTTAATAAAGATAATAAACTTGTTTCTGTTTCCTTTAAAGAGATGATATTGGAAAATACAGTTTTTTTGTAAGAATGTTTGTCTTAAAAGATAATATTCTGTTCTTTAGACAATGGAAGTTATTTTATTTTGTTTGGATAAACTGAAAGTGCTTCAGTGTTGGAAAGCTTTTTTTTTTTTTAAAGATTTATCTATTTATCTGTTCATTCATTCATTCACTCATTCGATTTAACTTAACCAGAGAGAGACAGAGAGAGATAGAGAGAGAGGGGGGGGGGAAAGTGAGAAAGCAAGCCACCAGGTCCAGGACTTGAACTGCGGTCGGCCATGTGGGAGTGTCCAGCGCCTTAATCACCACGTCACCTGCTGGTCCTCCTTTCTTTCTTTCTTTTTTTTTTTTTTTAAAGTTTTTTTTTTTTTTTTTTTATTTTTCTGATTCTTCACTCCTTCCTTGCATCCAATTATCTTGCATTGTGACTTTGCCATGTCTTCCACTAAAGTGCAGTTTATTTTTTCCTACTCTGAATCTGGGCTTGCCTGTGATTTCCTTTGGCCAATAGAACTTTGCAGATGGGATAATGAGACAGTTTTAAGCCAAGGCCTCAAGAATCTTTGTATATTTCCTTTCTCTCTTGGAGTCTTCCCCAACCATGATAAGAATGAGCCTGCACTAGCCTCCTAGAGGCTGAGAGACACATGGCCTAATGATTCTTAAATATCAGCTCATATCCAGTCAGCACCTAGGCACACAACTAGCTCTAGCAAACCTGACAGGTGGTGATAGCCACATGAGCAAGCCCAGCCAAGATCAGCCAGACCTCTTCCAGATCAGCAGAACTATGTAGCTCATTGACAGAAAAAGGTAAGTGCTCATTGTCTTTTGGAGGAATGGTCACACTGCAATTCCTTTTCCTCCATTTCTCCTTCTTAGGATTTTGGTCTCTCTCTCTCTCTCTCTCACACACACACACACACACACACACACGTGTTATATTTCTTA